AATTAATTAAAAAACGCCTACCCTTTGGTGTCTTCTGGCCAGCAATGACAAGAGACCAGTGGCCTAGTGCTGGCAAGGCGCAGGATTAGTTGGAGGAGCAGGCCAAGCCTTTTCAAAATGGCCACCTCCAGCCCACGAACTCTTCAAAATGGCCAACCGGCCACAAAGTCCACCAAAATAGCTGCTTCAGGCCACAAGGCTGCCAGTTTCACCAGAGAGCCCTAAGGAGGGATCCCTGACCTTTCGCTGGCCCCTGGATGGCAAGGGCAGCTCCTGGAATGGCCGTTCAAACCGCAGCCTTCCTCTTTGCTGTGGAAGCTCCTAAATGGCCCTGCGGCACAGGAGAAAGTGGGCAGAGACGCCCGGCCTTGAAAACGGCCAACTGGAAGACCGGGCCCTCCTCTTTGCCGCGGAGGGCTGCAAATGGCCTCACAGCCCTCTGCAGGCTGTTCCAGAGCAGCCCTCAACTGTTGCGCGGTTCCGAAAACCAGCTGAGAACCAGAGCTCCGTAAATTCAAAAAATTAGCTGTTTTGAGGCTTTTTCCCCTTGAGATATAGAGAAAAGGCTGCCTTTGAAAAATCAAAGGCAGGAGAGGCAGTGACTTGTGTCCATCCTGGCTGAGGACTGAGTCAAAAGCTGGGAGGAGCTACCCAGAGTAGGCAGAGCTAGGCTAATAAGCTATTTAGACAGACTCCATCCAAGCAGCTAGGACAAGAGCAACACCCACTCCTGACCTGTCACAGCTTTGCAAAGGAGAAGGAGAGAGTTATCTTTGCTCAAAACATCGTTAGTGCTTTTATGGACACCAGATAACATACTTCCTGTCTTAATCACTTTTTGGAAATTGCTTGTTAACTGCTTTTCAGATAAAAAGAACCTTCAGAATATCATGTTTTACTACACCGGATGTAAATTCCTCCAATCTTTAGTGAAATAAGTTTTAAATACAAATTTAAGGACTTAAAATATCTTGTTTTGGAATAAATAGCAAAAAGTTGACCAGAATTTTGAAAACTTAGATGCAGACTAAGGGTACAGATAGAAAACAAATCAAATAATCAGGTAAGGAGCAATGGGAAGGTTGCAAGAACTGGGCATGGCTGGTCTAGTGAAGACAACACTTAAGACTTCTTTTTTTCTTTACCATATTCATATTCTTTCCTTCTTTTCTATTTTTATTTTTCCTTCTTTTCCTCACTTTCTATTTTTAATTTGTTTAACTTGTGCTGTCTTTTTAATTGTAATGTTCAATAAAATTAGTATAAAAATAAATGTTTGCAAAGAGATTTTCAAATGTTTTAATATCTAAAATGTTGAAAGAATTGTCATTCTTGTCAGTTTCATGGCCTTTATCCTTTTTTCTATATTTGAACAACCTTTGATCTTCAGATCTGGTTTAGATATCTTTTTCTCCTCTCAGGTTGCTGGGGGATAATTTTCAAAGCCAACCTTGGCAGCACCATCTGCAGCCAATTGTACCTTCAGCCCAGTAGAGATTGTTAAGATCAAAAGAGGCAGAGAAAATGCCGAGTAATTTTGATGTGAATTTTTTTTAAAAAATGAAAATCAAGGAAAAGTGCTAAACAAGGAGCCAAGAGCTGGGAAATAATAATGAAAATGGTGGAATGATTGGGATGAAGTAAGGGAATACTGAAAAGAAGTATTTGGGAGATGGAAATGATAGGGATATGTTGAAGAGGGAAATTGAAATATATATGAAAAATGAAAAAGATGATCAAAAGCAACTCATACATTGTTAAGAATGTTGAAAAAAATGGTAAGGCTGCATCCAGACTCATTTTGATAACACACACACACACACAAAAGCTGAGGTACTCCTCACAAATATGAATTGCTTAAAGTTGCCTTAAGAAAACTCACAGCCAATTGAAGTAGTCTCACACATGTTAAATAACTTGCACAGCAAACACGCCAATATTTTAATATTTATCTAGCTATATATATATAAGGGGGGAAATTTAAGAAGATAGCTGGTATAAGGGTAATGAATGATATGTGGTCTGTTGCATAGGATGAATATTTGTCAAATAATATGAATTTATATGTAGCATGACAAGTTTGTTCATACAGTTGTATATGTTATATATGATGTGAACAATATGTATAATACAATATTAAACCAGAATGTGTCTTGTTTAGTTTTGGCTTAATGTTTATTTCTAAACCATGATTTGAGGCATGTGTAAATTCAGTCAATTGTGTGTTCTTCAATGAATTATGTTTAAGCTTGATGTAGGAAATGAAACAAGTCTTAGATATTTTTTTTTTTTTTTTGCTGAAGTAGCATATAGTTTTATCTATATGCGCTAGGGTTTCTTTATGGAAATACAACTTCCTGAGTCTTCTGAAAATGAATTTATATTTAAATGAACATCTTGGCTGATTGTTTTGCCAAATTCTGTGTTATTTTTCTGGACATTTTTGCTTATACTCTGTTGTTTTAGATTGATATTATGCTGCTTAGAATCATGATAGAATTAAAATACTAAATTTACAAACCAATAAGTTTTGCTTGACAAAAAATGTGGTAGTTTCCAACAGTCTAAATTTTTCTCTCTCAATTCTTCTCTGTGATTGTATGATCAAGGTTACTTTTGAAAATGGGTACAGGCTCTCCTTGGTGATCCTATGCACATCAACTCTTAGCTTAATTTTTTCTTTTAAAATTGCCTGTGTCCTGACACAGATATATTGACTTTTTCAAAGAAGAAAGGAAAGCAATCCATGTTAAACTCTGTGGAAATTAGTATGAGGGGATATAGAAGAAAATATTAGCTAGTGGTTGGGTAGTTTAGTTTAGTTTTAGTTTACTTTATTGTCATTGCACCTCGTACAACGAAATCAAATACCATCTTCAGTGCACATCATGACCATGATCATGAAAATAAACATAAGCACACATCCTTCACCCTTCACACATTGAACCGGAAACCCCCGACACCACACCAGCACTGCACTATACAGCAGAATTCAAAAGAGCTCCTGCCCTGGGATAGAAGCTGTTTTTCAGCCTATTTGTCCTTGTTTTTATTATTCTGTACTGTCTGCCAAATGATAATAGTTCAAAAAATGGGTTCCCAGGATGAGATGGATCTTTGAGAATGTTTTGAACTTTCTTAAGGTAGCAGGAGCTATAAAGCTCTTCCAAAGAGGGGAGAGGACAACCAATGATCCTCTGGGCAATGACATTAACCCTCTGGAGTGCTGTCCTATCTGCCACTGTGCAATTGTTTATATAGAAAAGCTACAAATTGCCAATATATATGTTATTACAGAATTGCATTTTAATCTAATAGTTGGAAATTAGGGACCAGCATTTGAGATAGATCAGTAGATGTTTCCAAGGAACTGTTACCAGCACTTGCTATTTTCTATACTGGATGGCTGAAAATCCTCAACATGTAATTGCTTTCTAATTGAGCCAGCATTTCTGTCTGCCCTTGGAAGGTCACAAACAGTAATAAGAACATTATTATTGGCTCAGACCAAAGGTCTTTTTAGACCAACATTCAGTGATAAACTAGATGTTTATCAGATGCTGACAAGGAAAATATGAGCATAATAACATCTTTGGCTTTCTAGGAATAGGAATTGAGAGCAGTCACTAGTTGTATAATTCTCCATGAATTGGATCTTTTTCATTATCTTAGGATAACGAGTTCCATGCTTTAACTATATGGTATGTGAAGGAAAATACCTTATGCTGTCTTCATGCAAAAGTCCTTCAGAGGTCATGTCATGTTCTGTATTAACTTGCTCTAGTACTTGGGTTTCTCATAAGCCATAGTTACTTATTCCTTATGGAGAGATGTGGTACAAATCCAAGATTTTGAAAGCAGGATAGTCTGTTAATATTAGAGCAGATTGTGAGGCAACATAACACTAAAGAGATGTTGGAGTGTTCCAACAAATCCTAAAATGATTTCAATTGCAGACAAGCAGGATGGACTTTGTAAATGATACCATGTATGTGTAATCATTCTCTATATCAGAGTTATGCCAAGCTGAATGGCTCTTGTTCCATGTTTTCTAAATTATAGGGCTGGAAAAGATCTTGGAGGTCTTGCAATCCAACCCCCTGCTCAAAGCCAGAATCTTATTACATCGCAGCCAAATAGTTGTTACCGCTTTATTGCAAGGTTGAATTTTTAAATTAATGTTTTAATTTGATGACTTCTATGATAATAAAAGAGGACTTTTAAGACAATGAAAGAAGGTGAAAAAGGGTGACCAGCAGCAAGATGGACAGACTCAGTAGCAGTGGCAATGAGTACACCATTGGGACATGCGAAAAGACAGGTTTGAGATAAATCAACACGGAGAAAATTACGTACATGGCCAGTAGGAGTCAAAAATGACTTTCTGGCACATAATTAATGATCATAAGTCAAAATAAATCAGGCAAAGTGATCAAATACATTTGGATTCAGTTAGAAATTTACCTTTAACTGAGGAACACTTCTCTGGTGAAAGAAGAATAAAATGCAAGAGTTGGTTCTGTTTCTTTCAGTGAGCAGAAAGTTAACCAATTCCCCAAAAGCAGTCCTTATTGTTTTTCACTTGCAACAGCTGGATTGTTGTCTACCTACATTAAAGTAGCAGAGATTGAGATTATAAAATGAAACCAAGGGAACAATTGGTTACAGAGGGATTTAGTTTTCAGTAGTTTTTGTATGCACAGTTAACAGAAAAATTCAAGGTTTATAGCTGGAGGTTGAATTGAGCACAGAAGACAGAATTTGAAGCTGAATTATGTACAAATGATGAAGATGTAATTGCCAAAAGGATAATTGAATGTGCTAAAATTTGAAATTGAGGACGAACAGGTGAAAAAAGTGTATGATAATTGCATTTTATGCTTGTATTGTAAGTTATTATTTTGAATGATGGTATCCATGTATTGTAAAAAATTAGTTGCAAATAACTTGGAAAATTATATAGTGATTCAAAGTAATATTTCTTGTTTTTCTTTCCCTAGTATCCTTTCATGTATGGGCTGATTCTCACAATTTGCTGGTCTTCTCTGGTTTGTTTCAGTCGAGTATATATGGGAATGCATACAATTCTGGTAAGAAAAAGTCATAAATTCTAAAAACATAACATTAAATAATGGTCGTATTGTAATGCATATTTTCTGAAAAATGTCAGCTTAAGCTCTGCTATAAAAGACGATGAACATATCTCTTACAGCAACAATTGGGCTACACTTTGTCATTTGATAATTGCAGATGAGTTTAATTCATCTAGAAGGTGGAGCTAAATGTCTTGCCATCCTGGTGGCATTCAATTTGTTTTACTACCGGTTCTGTGGGCATGGCTTGGTGGGCGTGGCAGGGGAAGGGTACTGTAAAATCTCCAGTCGGAGGTGGTATTTGCCAGTTTTCTGAACTACTCAAAATTTCCTGTACCGGTTCTCCAGAACTGGTCAGAACCTACTAAATACCACCTCTGCGTGTAGTCTTTTTCAAACTTGGCAGCTTTAAGATGTGTGGACTTCAACTCCCAGAATTCCCCAGCCAATTCAGGTTGCAAACTTTCAAAAACACTGCTGTAGAAGAGTCTAAACACTCCTTCTCAGTCTTAACTCTATCTTCTGCTGCAGGGGAATCATTTTCCCCTCTAGCCACATTTTAAGGTTGAAGATCCAAAGCTCCAGATGGAAGCTGTTTGTTGCTCCATTGGTAGAATGGATAGGCAGAAAGTAATCATGCTGACACCAATTAGGCTGGAAACTCCTGCAGAATATTTTCCCTCCATTCAAACAAGTTATGTTGCATGGAGCACGGAACCACATATTCCTTCATGTTCAATCTTCTTTTCAATCTCTGGCTGGACTTCCCCTTTATTCCTCTGATGGATCTCAGAATGACTCATTTTGTATCAGGTAGCAACTACCTTGGCTGACCTTGAAAAGGCTAGACAGGGTTGGATCTGGTTAGTATTTAGTTAGTAAACCAGCATTGGGACAAGATTGAGAAGCGAGGAAGAAAATGTACTGAGCAACCATTTCTGTGTTGTTTCTACAAACGGTACACTGGTAGTCTTCTACTTAGAACCACAATTGAACCCAAAGTTTCTGTTGATAAGCGACACATTTTTAAGTGAATTTTGTCCCAATATATGACCTTTCTGTCCACAGTTGAAAAGTTAATCACTGCAGTTTTTAAGTTAGTAACTCGGTTGTTAATGTGAATCTGGCTCCCCCATTGACTTTGCTTATCAGAAGGTCACAAAAGGGGATCACATGATCCCCAAGGCACTGCAACTGTCATAAGTACATGCCAGTTGCCAAGTATCTAGTTTTTGATCACGTGACCCTGGGGATGCTGCAATGCTCATAAGTGTGAAAAATGGTCAAAAGTCACACTGTAATTTTGAACAATAACTCAACTTGAACGAATCCTTGCTTTATCACAGATCAATGAAAGAGACTGCATTGATTTCAGAAGTCTACCCAATTTATTTGGTTCCCTGAATTAAACAGACATGATATTCTTCTGATTAAAATCGGAATTCCAATTTTTGGGGGAATCGCCCCCCCTCCCCCCCTTCTCCTCCTCCTTCCCCTCCCCTCGGAGGCCCCCTGAGTCAGGAGTTGCTACTGCCGGCGTGGCTCCACGTGGCTCCAGTCCCGCGTTGCCTCGGGAAGGGAAAGGCAAAAAGGAAGAGCCGCGGTGGCGCTTTGCAACGGCAGCAGCGGCACCGGAGGCTCAGGCGCAGCGGCTCCCGGTTTTGCCTTTCCCTTCCCGAGGCAACGCGGGACTGGAGGCGTGCGGAGCCGCGCCGGCGGTAGCAACTCCTGACAGCCCCAGCCGGACACCTGAGCGGAGCCCAGACGGTGCAAGCAGAGGCCGCTGAGCGGCAGGAAAAGGGAGCTGGGCAGCCACAGACCAGCCGTCCCTCCATCTGATGGCCTCGGACGAATCTCTGCCTCCCAGCGCGCTTGGTCCTCCGCTCGCAGGCTTCCCCGGCCCCTTGCCAAGCGGGTTTTCCACCCCAGCCTGGCAGGGCCCTCGCTGCCTTCTCCTCGCCTGGCCGGCCGGGCTCCTTGAGCAACCCGACTGCCTCGTGCCGAGAAGCACGCTGTCAGGCAGGGGCCACGCGGTGCAGGGCAACACGCCACTGCCCGGCCCTGACGAGGGAAAGCAGCGGGCGCTCCCCAGGCGGCAGCCTCGGCCCCACCACCAGGGAAGCGGCTACCCAGCTCCGGAGCTGATCCACACCTGACCGGCTGGAAAGGAAGGGTGTGTAGCGTTGGTGTTGTGTGTGCGATTTCTTGGCGCGCGGTGCGGGGTCTCTTTTGGCCGGCCCCGATTTTTTTTTTCAGAGGGGAATATCATGCCTGATTAAAGAAGCTTAAAACAGCCAAAATCTTGAGTACAAGCATATATAATACAGACTTAATCATTTTTTCTAATATCTGTGCGTGGAAAATATACCCATGTACTCAAATGTCAGATAATTTATAATTTATATAATAATGTTTAATTTGGAGTTTGTTTCTTTTTCTAGACCCTTTTGAAATGCAGATGTAAACTGCCTTAGTAGTTACAGTCATTCCATCTCTTTCTGTCAGGGATAATTTATATGTTAACAGGTTGTTTAGTCCTGTCATTTTGGACAGAAATGTGTGGATTGGATTATCTTTGTAAATCTAGCCTCCCCCAATATATTCCTAACACCTCCTCCCCATTTTCTAAAAGAAGATGGACTGTAATAATGATTTTCTTTCTGTTCAAAGAGGTTGTTAAATGAAGGATGATACTAAAAAATGGACTAGATCTGGCTGGAGCTACAGAGAACATGCTCCCCTAAGAAAGGCTCCCCTCAGAAAGAACCAGTAGATACAGAACATTGTTGATTGCTCCATTCCAAACACCCGTCCTTCCTGGTCATATGACTCCGGGGGAGCCTCTGCAACTGGCCCTTATAAAGAGTCAGGGAAGTGATCTTGAAGGAGGAGTCTGGGGGCCATTAGGGGAATATCAGGTGCGGAAGACGTGCATTAAATCCAGAGAGGCAGAAAAATATTGGGAAAAGATTCAAACTGCCACTCCCCACCCCTGCCCTCTCTGCTGCTCCCCAGGGTATTAAAGGGAAGACACGGGGTGAATTGTCCATTTCTCTTATAACTACTTCAATCAAATACAGGTAGTCCTCCAATTACGACCACAATTGAGCCCAAAATTTATGTTGCTGAAGGAGACATTTGTTAAGTGATTTTTTGTAATCAAGTTCTCTTTCCTTTGTTTTAATGTGCAATTTCAGAATAATTCTCTCAATAATTTTCTGGGAAATATATTTTGAAAATATCAAATTTATATTAGTAAGACTGTCATAATTCATATAAGTTACTAATTTTTCTCTCTCTCTTGCAACAGGATGTTATTGCTGGTTTTCTTTATGCTCTTCTCATCTTGGCTGTCTTCCTTCCAACTGTGGATCTAGTAGATAATTTCAACTTAACATTCAGATATGCGCCACTAGTCATCATCAGTCTTCATCTTGTCTTGGGGGTGTTTTCCTTCACTCTAGACACCTGGAGCACATCCCGAGGAGATACAGCTCAGATCCTGGGCAGCGGTGCTGGAGTTGCCTGTGGCTCCTATGCTACCTATTGTCTGAATCTAATGCCAGATCCTTCACAAGAAATGCTTCCGTTAGTTCCTTCACTCACCTTAAATCTCTTTGGAAAGGCTGCCCTGCGATTATTGATTGGATTAGTTTTTCTGTTGCTGGTCCGAATGATAATGAAGCAAGTCACCATCCCACTGGCCTGTAAAATCTTTGGTATTTCTAATGCAGATGTTCGAGAAGCCCGACAGCATATGGAAGTTGAACTACCTTACCGCTATGTTACTTATGGAGCAATGGGATTCTCAGCGACTTTCTTGGTTCCTTCCTTATTTTGGCTAAGTGGACTGTCCTCATGTTAGTGTTTTCTTCATAGGGAAACAGTGATGGACAGTTGATCTATGCGAGAGATGGTATACTTTTTGAGAAGTGCTATGATATTGCCTCTGCGAAAATTATATGTGGCAGGCAGTGAGCTCAAATCTTTGATCCTGGTTAAAAACCTTTTAGATTCAGATCCTTGAGAAATGCCATATGTAGTCTTACCATTGGAACAACATTATAAACAGCAAATGGGTTTATGTATATGCATAAATACGCTTCAAACTATAAATGCACCATCTTCTCTCTATTTAAATCTGTTAAAGCAGTTATGTTTACAGCTGATCCAGAAGCTCTGTCTATGGTCAATTAAAGCCATGTCATATCCCTCAGCCACAAATGGCTATATTGTAACGAAAAATCTTTTTTTCCCCCTTCCCATATACACACCTATTTTTTACACACAGGAAGCAAGCTATAAACCTAATAAACCTAAAATTTAATGAAACTTGGCTTACAGCACCTGATAGCTTTAGAGCCTTTTCTGTACTCCATATTTTTAATTTGTGAACACAAACCACTTATTTCATGTACTGTATTGCCTGATAATTGTGCCTTTCTGTTGGAATGCACCACATACTGTGGGATACATACACGCACAACTACTATAAAGTAGTAAAAACATAGTCTAAATTAGGTAGATATTTTAAAATGTAGGCTGCAACATGATTAATAAAAATAATTTTTATTATGTAAACTAAAACCTTTATTTGGGGCTCACCCACTTTAATCCACATTCTAATACTTTAATTGATATTTTTAAGTGTAATATACTGTATGTTATTGGAAAGAGTACATTTTCCCGATTCTATTTTTTTAATTAGGCTTTAATTATATCTGAAATTAATGCAATGTTAAATTATATTTTAACATAATTTTTCTTGGTTTCAAATGAAGTCATATTCGTAACAATGGTGGCTTTAATAAGAAACATATACACTTGTACTGTTGCATTGTATTTCCCATGCTGTTAGATCAGTTATCATCAAATTGTGAAGGAGGTTCTTTTGTCCTTTTGTGTTTGGATACTCCTCCACAAAATAATCAAATGTATTATGGTATTAATTACATCTAAGGCCATGTAGCCTATTATTTCTGATCAGTGACATCCTGTCTAAACAAAAACTAGTGAGGGAAAACCTTTATTTTTCTTGTGACATAATGGCATCTGACATGGTCTTTGTTGTCCTAGAGATCTCTGGAGATCAGCAGGGCAGATCGAAGAAGGGTAAACAGAAGGAGGAAAAGCAGAAAGAGAGTGTATTCTCTCATATGTCTGACTCTGTATTATACCAGCAAAATTAAAACACTCTTCACAGTTATATAATGTACAGAGAATACATTAAGGGGATTGATGTGCTCCAGTATATGTGTTGTTTACATACTTCTTATGCCCTTGTAAACTTCATTTATGGATGCTTCTACTAGGGCTATACAGCAATCCAGATTCAGAGGGCAAATGATCATTTATTACATGTGGGACATGCATGGAGCACATGATGGAAATCCATTAAATCAAATGCACTTTTTCCTGGGATTACACGGCATCTGTGAAAGGCACTTTGCTTGAGCCCAATGACACACAGTGTCTTGAACTGTTCTAAACAGGAATTCCAAATCCTATTTTGCTTTTTGAATATGTAGGGCTGCACAGACCTTATCTCTATTCCCAGCTGTCCAAAAAGTGCCTACTGTGTACATTGTACACATGGAGAATATAGACAGGCAAATGATCATGTATGGTAAAGGCATACTTGTAAGAATATGTACTTACAGGTTACATGTTCACGGTATCATCCAATTGTGTAAATTAAGGCAATTTAAGCCTATAAAAAGGGTGGTATTGAGTATCATAGAAGTCTGTTTTGTGTTTCCTGGGGCCTCTTTGCAACATAAAGTTTTGCAGTGATAAGACTTAGAAAATTGAACCGTTTTAATTTCATTTGAGCCTTACGATTTGCAAAATTGTACAGGTAGTCCTTGACCTACAACCACAATTAAGTCCAAGAGATTTGTTAAATGAATTTTGCCTCATTTGATGACCTCTCTTGCCATTGCAGTTGTTAGTAACACTGCTGTTAAATGTATCTGGCTTCCCCATTCACTTTGCTTGAAAGAAGATTGCAAAAAGTGATGATATGACTGTGGGACACTGCAAGTGTCATAAGTATGAGTCAGTTGCCAAGTTGCCATCAGGAATGCTGCAACAGTCATAAGTGAAAAACAATCCTAAGTTACTTTTGTAACTATTGTAACTTCAAATGGTCACTAAATGAGCTGTTGTAAGTCGAGGACTACCTGTATATGGTACATGGTCTATTGTAGGCAGTGTTTCCTTTTTTATAAAAGTGTTACTAGTCAGCAATTATTGGGCCTCATCTAAAAGGACGGAAATGAATCAGGAACTTGTATTTTGATGATAACGGTACATCAGAACATTCACATGATGCAAATCTCAAATAACGCAAATACAGAATTCTTAAACAGGTTGAATGTTCAGGAATTATCTCTGTGTTGGGTTGTGGAAAGAGTACATGTATTGCTATTATCCAAGAGTCTACAAATTATAATAAAAAAGAGCCCAGGAGCATGAGACATTATGAATTAAATTACTCTTGCTGGATGCTAGGTACCATATACACTTTGGTTCTCAGATTAAAAAGAATAAATATTCTTTTCTCCAATGTTTAGAAGTATACACATCTAGTTGTAGGCTTTTGTTTTCCTGCTATAGTTTCAAATAAGGCATTGATATTTTGTCTTATTTTTTGAAATGTTGCTAAATTCATTTTGGGGGGGCGGGGAATGTTCTCTGGCCTCATTCTTCTGTAGATGAGACCAGAACACTGGATCCTTTGTGTCACTCTAGCCTTTTTTATGCTCTGCTTTTCTACAGAATTTATGTTTATTAATCACAAAAATAGCAGTTATCCTCCTGTATGGAATTTAAGAATTTGGCACATGGCATTTGTATTCGGAGAATGTGTCGTTACAAATGTAATCCAGAATATTCGGCTTGGACACGGAGAATGTAAATTAGTTTCATGACCCTGGGAAGATGGATTCGCCACCACCACCCCTTTGATCATAATTATTCCTACCACCATGGTAAGGCTCAGGGGCCTCTGGGGCAAGTGGGTAAAGGAAAGCAGGGTGGATCGGTGTAAAAACCCACAAGATAGTCCTGTCCACCATTTTACAGGTTTTGATGAGATGCCTGTGGCTACTGTTAAAATTGATGTGAGATCTAAATGCCATTTTATATTGATCAGGACTTACTAATTAAGATTTCCAAAACTTAAAAAAAAGCTATTTACATGAACATAAGCAGGCTTCAGAATTATAATCAGTGAATAATTATTTTTCCTTATCAAGATTAAAAAAGCAGTGTTCTCACTGAGTACCGGTACATTTTCTTCTGCTATTCTATCCAGACACTAGGAATTACTTTGATTAGGTACGTACTAACTTCCCAAACTAGTATAGTTTTTTTTGTTCAATGTGTACCAGAAGAAAAAGAAGTTTAAGAAGAAATTGTGCAAACGCTTTTTTTTACATTCCTAAAAATGCGATTAATCTGAATGAAAGCACAAAAATTAAATACTTTGTTGCATTCTCATTTATTGCCATGCTTTTTAAAAACAAAAAAATATATTAATAAATATAACTAGATCTGAATGACTGTTGCAAGTAACTTGCGATTTTGGGTGGGATTTATTATTCAGGTTATTTAGCACTATTAGCATTAAATTGCTGAGTTTGTTTCATTGGGTATATATTTTAATGAACAAATCATTGTCTCTAAAGTTTTAAAACATGCACTGTAGCATATTCTACTATTATTCTGTATATTATTTTTTTACGCTATCTTTAGGTGAAATTAAATCCCACATTGACATTTTACATTTATTTTGTGTTGTTTTGCTTAACTTGGAACATGAAAACTGCCATCAAACAATCAAGGCCATTCAGCTCCATGAACCTGAATTATACAGAAATGAAAAGCAAGGCATGTTTATTAACAATTATATGTATAAAGTAGTGGTAACAATGGGCTTCATCAGCAGTAAAATTTATGTAAACTACTTTGAGGATGCAATGCAGAATGAAACCAAGCTGTAATTGGGTGATCAGAAGAAGAATCCTTTTAGGAACGCATTCAAGCATATCCTGAATTGGTTTTAAAAAAATCAGTTACAAAAATTTCCACTGTAGCTAATTAAACTATAAAAAGTATAATACAAAATATAAAATAAAATATAGCCAAGGACAACTGCAAAAATATCTGTGTAACTTGTTACAGATTTTTAAAAGTCTGGGAAATGAAAAGTAGTGTTGCCCATTTCATTAATGATGTTGATAAAAGTACTAGACAATTCATGTGTACAGATGGCTGATCCATGGCTCAGCATGATAGTCTTATGACTTTCAAGTCAGAGGTTCCACATTCAACCCTGGCATTTCCATGTAGAACTAGAGAAAAAAAATTGCCTAAAAACATGGGGATGGATTGCCAGTCAGTGTAGGGAATTTTTGGAAATTTTAGACCTGCAGAGTAGGAAAGAAACAAGCACGTTTAAGGCAGGTTAGATGAATTATTAACATGGTCAAAAAACACAATATAGCACTGTTTTCTATACTTGCCTTGTATTCTTATTTTTATCTCCCCTCCCCTATCAGTGTAAGACCAAAGCAATTACTTTTATTGATTTTACCTGTTTAAGAATATTTCATGAAATATAACCTCTGAGTACAGAAGATTTCAATTGAAAAGAATCTCTTCATTTCTGAAAACTTGCTATATTATTCATTTTATAATACAGTGCCAGCATCATATGGACTAATTTCTGAGAGTTGTATTGGCATTCCCTGATGCTGTCTCTGGGCTTACTCCCATATTGGTTATTCTCTTATTCACATGAGGATGGGAGATTACAGTTAGCAGTACCAGGTGGCCTTGTTTGTTCCTGGAAGCCAAGAACAAATGTCTATTTAATACTTGACTGAGAGAAATCACATACTAGTAAGGCTGTAAACTACTGCAAATTGGAAAACATCAATGGAAAATCCATTTCTTTTTTTTAAAAAAATTAGTTATTAAAACAAACTTTATTTGCAAAAGATTAAAAATATACAAACATACAAATATACAGAAATAAAAAATCATAAATGTACAAATAAAACACTAAACATATTTCTTGCTATTTCATTTGATATTAGGTTCGATAGTTCATAGTAAACAATAATAATTGGCAAGTATTCCTTATCTCTTATAGATTACATATTAATAAATAACACCTATTACTCTCCTATTACTATTGGATTATAACTATTATTTAATCAATAAATCCTTCATAATGTTTACGTAGTAGGAGAGAAGATTGAAACCATTATTTTATACATTCAATATATACAACCTATATATAATGTTTCCTGGGTTCATTTATTCTGTACATTCTATTTCTTGCGTTCTACCCAGCTGTACCATGGGAAATCCATTTCTTATTGCTACGAAAATCAGATGGGTGTGTTTATGCAGACCTCAGGAGTGTAGCTAAAAGACTATATAGCAGAGGTCTCCAAACTTGGAACTTTAAGACTATGCTGGCTGGAGAATTGAAGTCCACAAGTCTTAAAGTTGCCAAGTTTGGAGAGCTCTGCCATATAGTAACAACATGAACTGCCCCTCAAAAAAAAAGGTTAAGTAAAAGCATAAGTTTTCTTATGTTTTCTGTCTGTAAGGAGAATGGTTCATTTGATGCATTTAATAATTTCCTCTCCCATCAAATTAGCATTTTTTAACATTGACAAGCTTAATATGTGTGGACTTCAATTCCCAGAATCCCCCAACCAGCATGAAGCCCACATATCCTAAACTTGTCAATGTTGAAAAATGCTAATTTGATGGGAGAGGAAATTATTAAATGCCCTCACTGCAGTCTGAATGGGCTGTAAACTGTATCCTCTCAGATTGATTGCTTTTGTTTCTAAGCTTTGAGACACCTAGATGCGAGAAGGGTATTGGAAGCAGTTTTGTCGGGTGATTGGAAGGAGCTGAAGACTTAGATATTTTTCTTAAAACATTTAATGCCCAGCTCTCATTACTCCACTGCAAAGTATACCTGCAAATAAACAACACTAACTGTAGTGTGAATTCTTCCTTTTTATTCCAGATCTTAAACACAAGTTCTAACAAAGAAAGTGGGCAGGAAGAAAACCACTTAAAAAGACAGGTCCTGCTGGATTAGATCAGACGATTAAGTTATTTTCGTAGTCTCATTATCCTTCATGAGCAAGGATAATAGCAACGAGGTTTTAGTTTAGGAACCTACACCAAGAGATGTATCAATACTGATATGGCTACAATAATTAGCTATTGCAAATAGTACTCTTGTCGGCTATAATTTGTCTAATATTTTAGTTGGCTGAGTTGGAAGGCATCACTGTATCTTTCCAGAAAACAGGTAAACAGTTAAGAGGGACAACACCAGCTTTGGGACCATTGTGGGTAGGTCAAGCTTGACTCCTTTTGAGATGTGTAAGCCGATACTGATGTTTCCTTACATATACCTCTGGATAGATGGTTTCCACACCATATCTAATCATCACGATAGATTTCTGCCAACTTAGTTGTAACAGGTAGATCTGAATATTGTGTGTAAACTAATATTAAATCCTGAAATTCTTGCACGTTAAATCTTTTCAATGTCTTTCCATTTTAAGGAAAAGCCCGAATGAATCCCCTCCCTAT